ACAAGCCAAACACAGAGCACAACCAGCCAAAAAAAAATTAAGGGGAATGCATGTGCATGTCTTGGACCTACACAACCAAAACACATGGACAACAGGGTAAACAAAACAAAACAACAGAGATCCCAATCTTTATGAGACGCTCGGTCCCAAGCCATATACAATGCAAGAGAGTATTAAGTAAAGAAGAACAACCATATGCTTTGCAAGTGTGGATCGATGATGTTAGCGGCTCTTGGTTCTCATTCCTTTCTTCTCACCTCCATCTCTTATTTTCTACGCCCAATCTGCCGTGTCTTATGTATCTGTGATAACCAACACGTTGGTGTTGCTGTTGGGATGCAAACCTGGGAGAGCATGCGCTCGTAGAGGTTGATTGGGTAAATCATCGGGCACGAACCATTTTGCTCAAGAAAATGGAAGAAAGACCATGGAGGAGCAAGGAAGAAAGCAGACATACATCGCCATTAGACTTTCCATCCGCGCTTTTGCAACAAGTGTTGAAGGACTATCACACCTGCCTTATCTTGTTTAAGCCTTCAGAGGTTGTCATAGACTGTTTATGCACGCTGTCTTCGTGGTGACATTGAACTCTTATTATTTTTGGCCTTCTCTTCATCCCTCTCCCTCTCTTCTGTTCTTCTCTCTCCCTTAAGTCTCTTATTTTTATCTTGAGTTGACGATGGACCTGGTATTTTCTTGATGTTTCACACTGTTGTTTGTGGTTCAATTGATTTTTGCTTTTTTGCATAATTTCTTGGCTAAGAAAAAGGGTATGCAGATGGTCGGAATAGCTTGCCTTGTCCGTTTGTACTCTCTGCTTCATTGGAGTGCACATGCGCGAAAGAACGCGTATGGACAGGGTGAAACCTACCGGGGAATAAGAAAGGAAAGGTGATGAAAGGGAGAAGGGCAAGAGCGCCATTGTCATCAAACATGCGTACACCTCGACCCATTTGCATGGAGCTGTAACCCAAGTCTGACTTTTTGTTCCTTCCCGTATTTTAAATTGTCATACATCCATCCATCCTCCACTTTGCCTTTTGCTCTTCGAACACTCAACCCTTTTCTTTCTTTTTGCTCCTTCCTTCCCTTTCACACGCTCTCTCCCTTGTCGCTCTCTCCTTCCTCTCCCTTCACTTGTTTTTTCCTTTTCTATTTGCCTCCCTCCTCGTCAACACTCCACCATTTCTCTACTTTTGTTCAGCTTCCCTACACCCTCCTTCCCTGCTACCCCTCCTTCCCTTCCTTCCACTCCTCCTTCCCCCTTTCCCCTCCCACCACTTCATTTGTATTATCTCCTACTTTTAGATACACCGCACCCTCTGGTCACTCCTTCTTTGAGTACAAAATCAGAGAGGTCACATTTTTTTCCGTCAAGGTATGAGATAGATTGAATGCATATATATAGCCGTGTGTTTAGTTCATAATAAACTGTCTATGTTGCTTATTTTGTTCATCCAGGCATAACACATTTGACAAAGAGACAATGGAGCAAATAAGCATTGTGTGGGATCTCGAGCACAATGAAACAGTTGATTTGATTCTTTTCCCTCTTCTCTTTCTCTTTTTTCTTTTTTTATTTTCGTCTTTTTTCTTGGTCTTTTTTCTAATTTCTTATTTCTTATTTCTTATTTCTTATTTCTTATTTCATATTTCTTATTTCTTATTTCATATTTCTTATTTCTTATTTCTTATTTTCTATTTCGTACCGTGAATAAAAAGAAAGAACAAAGAAAGGGACGAGATATGAAAAAAGGCGAACCGAATGGCAATTCATACACAGTGAAGAGTTGGGAGGTAAGGTTGACTGTGTTTCGACTCGGCAAGATTGAAGTAAGAATGGGTGTAAAAAAGGCTTTTTTTTTTTGCAATGTTGCCTACGTTTGACTACAATGCCTACATTGGCTATGTGCAGATGGATGAAAATTATCCTTATAGGAGCTAAAAGGCAAGGTCTATTGGCATCAAATTCATGCATGCATGTATGTTTCACATCTGTCTCGTCCAGGGTAAAGTCCATGGCATAGGAACATAACAATAAAATTATGCTAACATCCATGTATTCTTTGCCTTCATTGCCTTCACTGCCTTTGCATGTGTTGTCTTTTTTTTTTGGATCCTTTTTTATTTTTTTTTGGCCTACATTGCCTACGTTGGCTATGTACAGATGAATGAAAATTATCCTGATGGCAGCTAGAGGGGCAAGACCTGTTGGCATTAAGATTCATGTATGCATGCATGTCTCTCATCTGTCTCATCCAGTGTGAAGTCCATGGCATGCGAATATAACAATAAAAATACGCCAGCAACCGTGTGTCCTTTGCCTTCATTGCCTTCATTGCCTTTGCATTTGTTTGTGTTTTTTTTTTTTTTTTTAGGAGGGAGAGAAAGATAAAGAGAGAGAGAGAGGGAGGCAAGGAGAAAAGAGAGAAAGACAAAGACAGAGAGAGAGAGAAAGATAGAGAGAGAGAGAAAGATAAAGAGAGAGAGAGAGAGAGAGGGAGAGAGAGGGAGAGAGAGGTAGACAAAGAGAGGAAGTTAAAGAAAGATAGAGGGAGTGTCAAAGAAAGAGAGAAGGAGTGTCAAAGAAAGAGAGAAGGAGTGTCAAAGAGAGATGAAGACTAAGAGAGGGAGAGGGAGTCAAAGATAGAGAGAGACAAAGGTGAGAGGATAAAATGGAATGAGGGCTACTTGAACAAAGTCTATAGTGATCATCCTCCAGCGGGGTATCAAGCAAGGCGTGCAAGTAACAAAACCCGCAGACGAGAAAAATGGTGGAGTGTGTGTATATGGACATTTTTTAGTGTTATTTGGGGTGCCTGAAATGGTCAAGAGGGATCACTGAACAGCCGATGGTGTCTGAATTTGACTCTTTGACGAGAATCTCGATGCACGGCGAGGAAAGGAGAAGTCCATTGAGAACGACGGGTAGCACTGGTCAAATGATCTTTTTGCCAGCAGCGCGGCAAAAAGAAAGAGCAAAAAGCATTTCTATTCTGACAGGGTGTTTTGATTTCCATCCATGCTCCTGTTCAAACAGGACCCTGTTAGAATTGAAAAAAGACCAAAAACATATGGCAGAATTGTTTTTGAAAAACCCCTGTCAGACACCCCCTGTTAATTTTGCGCTGACAGGGGGTGTTAGAATAACCGAGTCGCCTCCGCTTGTCGTCTCCGGCGATGAGGAGTACGAGGTTGAGGCCATTTTGGATTCACGGATCAGGCGCAACCACCTTGAATACTATATACATTGGAGAGGCTACCCCGTATCCGAACGAACCTGGGAACCGGCCGCCTGTGTCAAGAATTCCCCGGACCTTGTTCGCGAGTTCCATCTGCAACACCCTCACAAACCCAGCCAAAGGCCTCTTGGAACTCGGCCCTAGAGGGGGAGGTTGTCACGAGACAAGAGCTTGCTCTTGTGACTTCGCCCTAAGGAGGCCTTTCAAGTCCAAATTATCATATGGTGTTTGTTACATCTCTGCAGATCTTGACGATATCCACCGCGTCCATTAGAGGAGAGTGTATGTATGATATCAACCATTTAAAACAACCACTGTAACATTCCTTGCGCGATTATCCTACTAAACACAACTACATTCTCCAAACAACAAAGTCTTCTTATTTTTCGCTCACCAATATCTTGAATGTGTTCATCTACTATTAAACTGTAACCCTCACTGCAAGATTCGACAGAGTAGTTCTTGTATGTGATCATCTAAAGCACTTGCACTCTCAACTGTATCTTTGTCGTGAAATACAGGGGAGAGATTACATTTTAAAAATTCTTGTGCTGTCTATTGCTATTTTATCCTATGTTCTGTTGCCGACTGTGAAGAGATATATCAGCTATGGAAGTCAACACTCCGTTCCTTGGGCTTTGGATATTTTTTATATGCTTTTTTATATCCTCTGCACATGAAGGGGCCGCTAACGAGTATAAAAGGGCCTTAGATAGCAAATCTATAGCTCTTTACTTGGTATCGCCAATACAACATACTCTATAACCTATTCCTTATACTCATTTCTTAGTCCTTGATCAAGGTTCTCTTTATCTACTTCATTCTATTGCTTGGTCTGCTTTCTTGACACAAACATACTGTGGGCGTCATCAAGATCAAGATAGAGGTCATATAAAACGTGGTAACAAGAATGCACCTGTCGTTACGCGTCCCAAGTCTTCCAAGGCTTTAAAGAAGACACATACTTCTAAGTTTGTATCATCTGATGACGATATGACTTCCGAGGATGAAGAGCCGTCCGACGATGATGATGAAGAAGGTAAAATTGCCGTCTCCTTTCCGTTGAGTCCAAAGGTAGTTGACATAACGTCCAAGAAAAATGTACCACTCGCTAATACAGGCATATGGATGCGTTATGCAACTAATCCAGTTTTTCTGTATGCAAAGAACTTTACTGTAAATGGCAAGTACATTATTAAGCTGAAGGAAAAGGATCTCTACATTGTATTGTGTCCACCTGAGCTCATGGGCAAAAATCTTCCTGTACCGGAAATATCTGAAAAAGAGGCACGTATATTACAAAAGATGGGACTCCAAGAGGCAACTCCTGCAGATGTAGAAAAAATAGAAGAGTCTTCTGCTGATGATAAGAAGAAGACTCTTCGAAAGAAAAGGCCTTCAAAGATGCCCAAAAATGCAGAGCCATCTTCTAATGTAGACGTTTCTAAGGATGGAAAAGATGAACATACATTTGCACTGGCCACAACGGTGCATAACATTAGATCAGAGTAAGACATAGCACGTGCGAAGGACAGAGGATGGATGATTCATCCTAATAACGACATGCTTGAGTATGCAACTAAGTTTACGATGAATGGCAAGTACATTGTCAGGCTATCTGGAAAGAATACATACGTTGGCCTGTTTACGCTTGATGCTCTGCGCGGTGTTGGTGATGTTCCAGAGTTGGATATCTTGGAACGCTCCATGCTTAGCAAGATGAAACTTCAACCATTGTCTGATGAAGAGAGAAAGACGCTATTCAATGAGGAGATCGAAGTAGAAGAAGAAGTACCAGTAGAAGGACCAACAGATAAATCCAAGGTGATATGGAAAAAACTTAACAAGTACTTGGAATATTCCGAGAATGTACTTGTAAATGGAATGCACATTCTCAAGATGCGCAAAAAAGACACTGTAATCGGCTTGATGACTGATGACCATATTGCTGCAGAGAATGTAGAGTGTCATTCTCTTAGCCAGAAGGAAAAAGAGAAGTTGTTTGCTATGGGATTTAAACCGCATGAGCATAAGCAAAGCTTGCCACAGAAAGATGAGAGCACATGTGAGGATGATAAAGATGCTGAGGGCGATAAAGATGCTGAGGGCGATAAAGATGCTGAGGATGACAAAGATGCGGTGGGTGATAAAGATGCTGAAGATGACAAAGATGCTGAGGGTGATAACGATGCTGAGGATGACAAAGATGCTGAGGGTGATAACGATGCTGAAGATGATAAAGATGCTGAGGATGATAAAGATGCTGAGGATGTTATGTGGAAAAGGTACCCTAAAGATAAAAGCTCCTCGGGTATAATCGTCATAGATAAAGACGAAATTAAATGGACAACATGTTCGTTTGACAAGAAGCATGAATATGCAACCAACTACCTTTTCGACGGATGTCATCTGCTCAAGAGGTACGAAGAGGACATTATTGTTGGACTGCTGTATAAGATACCTGCAAACGGTGACAGTAACTATAGTCGAGACAAATTTACCAACAACAAACAAAAGCAGAAGTTAATTGCCATGGGGTTCACGATCGAGGAATTGCCTAAATTGTACTCTCCAGATGTAAAGTTTTGGTAGTTGTTGAGACAGATGAAGAGTAGATATTTTAAAAACTATCCAATTGTCAACAGTTGGCATTTGTGGTTTTTTTAGGGTTTTTTAGGGTTTTTTAGGGTTTTTTAGGGTTTTTTAGGGTTTTTTAGGGTTTTTTTATAATAGGAGGGGTGTGAAAAAGGTGTTTAAGGGACTGAGAGTGTGTAAAAGAAAGAAGACGTTGGGACAAGTGCTTGTTTCGATTTTTTCTCTTCAGCCTTGTCTTCTTATATACTTTTTCACCATTCTCTTTCTCTCATTGAGAAGGGTGAACTATTTCTAATCCGCAGTATTTGTTTACGGATAGACATATCTTGATTATTATGATATGAACCAATTATCTTTCGAGTTTGAGTACATGTGCCATACTTTCTATCCCGGTGTCAGTTGACTTAAGTTCTGTTGACGTCTTTTTAACGGGAAGTAGAACGAAGGGGACCTTGTCTTTCAACAAAAAGATGTGGTTCAAGTTGTTTCCGGATGACTCCAAGTCTGTCTGAAAGTCGACAAACTTAAAAGGATGGTCATGGGTGAAACTATCATAGGGGGTAAAGTCGAAACTTTAAATTAAAGTTTCGACTTTCAAAACAACTTTGCAGTTTTACATCCGGGCCGAGCCGACTAAAACCTGTTTAGATACGAGCCGTTCCGAGTCTAGGGAAAGCCTAGAGAACCGGTATTGTTTCCCAAAAAAGGAAATAATTCTTTTTCCAGCAAAAAGTGTTTAAAAGTTGTTTGTGAGGTATGTAGGGTCTACTTTAGGACCCGGGGAGTACGATAAACGTGTTTATTTAGGGGATTACATTGAAGGATACCCTTCAATTAAGGGTTTAGGGATTTTAGGGATTTTTTTTTAGGGTTATTTAGGGTTTCTTAAGGGTTTTTTATCGGGGTCAAAGAGGATCAAGTCTAGCCCTTACCGCTAAGACTCCCTCAAAAAACCTAAGATTACCTAACTCTATTAAATCCCATAAAATATATATTCAATTAAAACCAAGTGTAAGATATGGGGTTCTGGGTATAACGTCTAGATAGACGATTAATACTCATTGTATGTCATCCTTAGAGCCTCGCCGAGATTTGGCGTTGACCTAAGATCTTTCTATTATACTTGTTCAACTCATCGCGGATGTTTGAACCTCTATAGATTATCCAGTTTGCACTAACATCTTTAAATTTAGTGGGATTGGATTTTAGGATAGCCTGAACTACGTTACGACCAAAGCGTTCAACTTTGTGTCTACCAGGAATATTCTTTAAAAAGAATCTCTTTTCAATATCATCATCCTCATCTTTATCTGATGGTGGATTATAATCGGCGGGAGCCTGGCTCTGAGCAGTACGACCATACAACAACTGATGTCGTTCTTCGTAACTGTGCATTCCGAGTTGTTCTTGAATGACGGGTTCAGGATAGTTGCGGTGTATGAGGAACTTAATAAAGTTCTGTCTTGCAACTTTGTGATAACTAGCATAGCCGGAGTTCCGGATTAAACGCTGGTTTTCACCATTAATCCAGTTGAAAATATATTTATTAGGGAAATAAGTATCTGGACTAGTGTATAGGTGTTTATTCATGGGTTTGTCATGAGGACTAATGTCAATACGTTGAATTGAGTTCTCAGTAACAATAGTAATATTTAAGTCAAGCATTGCTACTTGGCGGCCATGGAGTCCATGGTCTATAGTAATGTTCAAGTCGTTTGCTTCTTCATAGATCTTATAAAGTGCTTCATTAAAGTAGCCTTTAAGATCTGATGCTACCTCGGTCATGTAAACTACATTTCCTTGGTATCTAGGAACACCGAATAGGGCAAGCCCATCATCAATGTATCTAAGTATTTGCAAGTCGAATTTTTGTTTGCCAAGAAAGTCAAGTTGTGTAAAAGTATCCTCATCAATGTCCAAGTAAACTTGGTCAATGGGTATATTTTTAAATATGTAGCCTTTCTCTACGCAGCATGCATACAGGCGAGCAAAAGTTGGCGCCATAGGCGTCCCCATTGCGAGTCCTGTAACTTGTCTGTATAGTTTTTTACCATCGGATAAAATACAGTTTTTATTAACCCAATACGCAAGATTCATCATATCTCTGATGTGGTTTTCTCTTGGATCATTATCAAAGTAATTAATGATAGTTTCTATAGCATTATTTACATTTATACTTCCATACATGTTTATGACATCATATGTGGCGACATAATAATCATAGCTTGGATTGAAATGGAATTGTTCTAGTTTACGAATCAATGTGGGTGTATCGGGTAGTTCTTGGCGGAATACCACCAAGTAATCGCGAAGTTGTTCATCGACAAACTCACTGATCGTATGTGTAAACCAGGGATAGGAGGGCACTATAGGGCGGACGCTAATAGGCGACTTATGAATCTTTGGAAGAAGATACATAACTGGTATTGTAAAATAGTTACTATTTTTTCTATATAGGTCCTCCATTATTTCCGCAGTTTCACGAACAAAAGTTCTGTGTTCTTCTTGATCAAGACGTGCGGCGAATTGTTTAAGATGCCTAAGGGAGACATAGACATCAATATAGGGGTCTCTTTCATAAAGATTACGATTATTAAGAAGATTAAACAACTGGTTCTGATACCAGCTGCTATCCATAATAGTCAGCCCCAAGTTTTTATCAGCAGGGCCAATGATAAGTTTATTGTCTGTCATAAACTTGATGGTCTTGTTGATTTTTGGAAGGAGTTTCTTATGCGGGTTTGAAGATCTCAATGTAATTAAGTCAGATATTAATTGTGGTTTGTTCGCATTGAAGTGAATGTTTGTGATATATTTATCGGCTTTTTTAAGCTGTTTAAACATTTGTTTTTTCAATTTCAACACCTCTTTAGTTAACAGATCATACCTGGGCTGTTTATGGATGTTGAAGTTGACTCCTTTATTTAGAACAATAAGAATATCATGTGGAATAGTAGTGATGGAAGAAATGTTGTTTACTCCATCAAAACTTTGGACATCGCGATGAATTACTTCTTTCTGGCTGCGTTTCGGCGCGCGCCATTTTGGCTTCTTTGGTTGCCTGCCTTCGCGGACGGATGTTTCCCTTTGGGATGGTTCTTGGGTCCTTTGGGTTTGGGTCCGTTCTTCTTGTTGTTCTTCCCCTTCTTGGGCGCGGGGCCTTTTGGGCCCTTGAACTTGGAAAGTTCGTTCTTGCGCTTGTGAGGGGGTGATTTGCCTTTTCCGCGCTTTGCGGAAGTCTTGTTCAGCTTGATTTTCTAAGCGTGGTGAAGTAAGATATTGGTTAGATGAAATGAGAATAGCATGTAATCTCGGGGCAAACCAGTCATAGACAATTTGATGGAGTACCTTTAATCCATTGTTAACTGCCTCAAGTTCTGCGGTAACCCTCAGCGCCTGTACTTGAGTGACAAACTCTTGTGCAGCCGCCTTAAGAAGGGTGCGAGTATAGTCCTTACCTTGCATTGTAAGACGGTCATTAGTCTCAATAGAGACCAATGATGCCTGTAATGCATCAGATAGGTTTTTCGGAAGGGTTTGATCAAGTTCCTCTTGAGCCTTGGCAATCACACTAACCTTGTCATTGCGAATTACATTGACAAGGAGTAGATTGTACTCAGCATTAAGAGAAGCTTGTGCTTCCTTGGACAATGTAACACGATTGTTGTTCACAAAGGGTTTACCCCAATAGTCAGCAGTTGTGTGTACATTCAGTTCTCGCAGAACTTTCTCTGCCGCTTTGACTTTATCCATCAAAACGGCCGCTCTATTGACAAACTTGTGTAGAATGTCAGCGGCCACCTTTTCAGATAGAGCTCCCTTCTTAAAAGAGGGAAGATAACTGCCAGGGTGGAGAGAGGAACCTTCCGTCTGGGTTGCTAAACCCAAACGTATAATAAGGTCATCGAGGGTGGTGGATCCAGCCGGGGGGCGATCCACTCCCATCTCGGAGTCATCAGGGTCTTGGGCTTGGGCAAGGGCTTGGGCGGCACTGGCAGCAATGATGGCGGCATCTCGCATTCGGTTGGTCTCGGCGGAGCGAGCCAAAAGGGAGGCGATGTCTTGACCACCTTGGGGGCGACCGGATGATCCTTGGATATTCATGTTCGACATAGTGGTGAGAATGAAGTAGGGTTTTTTTATAATAGGAGGGGTGTGAAAAAGGTGTTTAAGGGACTGAGAGTGTGTAAAAGAAAGAAGACGTTGGGACAAGTGCTTGTTTCGATTTTTTCTCTTCAGCCTTGTCTTCTTATATACTTTTTCACCATTCTCTTTCTCTCATTGAGAAGGGTGAACTATTTCTAATCCGCAGTATTTGTTTACGGATAGACATATCTTGATTATTATGATATGAACCAATTATCTTTCGAGTTTGAGTACATGTGCCATACTTTCTATCCCGGTGTCAGTTGACTTAAGTTCTGTTGACGTCTTTTTAACGGGAAGTAGAACGAAGGGGACCTTGTCTTTCAACAAAAAGATGTGGTTCAAGTTGTTTCCGGATGACTCCAAGTCTGTCTGAAAGTCGACAAACTTAAAAGGATGGTCATGGGTGAAACTATCATAGGGGGTAAAGTCGAAACTTTAAATTAAAGTTTCGACTTTCAAAACAACTTTGCAGTTTTACATCCGGGCCGAGCCGACTAAAACCTGTTTAGATCCGAGCCGTTCCGAGTCTAGGGAAAGCCTAGAGAACCGGTATTGTTTCCCAAAAAAGGAAATAATTCTTTTTCCAGCAAAAAGTGTTTAAAAGTTGTTTGTGAGGTATGTAGGGTCTACTTTAGGACTCGGGGAGTACGATACACGTGTTTATTTAGGGGATTACATTGAAGGATACCCTTCAATTAAGGGTTTAGGGAATTTAGGGTTTTTTTAGGGTTTTTTTAGGGTTTTTTAGGGTTTTTTTATAATAGGAGGGGTGTGAAAAAGGTGTTTAAGGGACTGAGAGTTTTAGGGTTTTTTTAGGGTTTTTTAGGGTTTTTTTATAATAGGAGGGGTGTGAAAAAGGTGTTTAAGGGACTGAGAGTGTGTAAAAGAAAGAAGACGTTGGGACAAGTGCTTGTTTCGATTTTTTCTCTTCAGCCTTGTCTTCTTATATACTTTTTCACCATTCTCTTTCTCTCATTGAGAAGGGTGAACTATTTCTAATCCGCAGTATTTGTTTACGGATAGACATATCTTGATTATTATGATATGAACCAATTATCTTTCGAGTTTGAGTACATGTGCCATACTTTCTATCCCGGTGTCAGTTGACTTAAGTTCTGTTGACGTCTTTTTAACGGGAAGTAGAACGAAGGGGACCTTGTCTTTCAACAAAAAGATGTGGTTCAAGTTGTTTCCGGATGACTCCAAGTCTGTCTGAAAGTCGACAAACTTAAAAGGATGGTCATGGGTGAAACTATCATAGGGGGTAAAGTCGAAACTTTAAATTAAAGTTTCGACTTTCAAAACAACTTTGCAGTTTTACATCCGGGCCGAGCCGACTAAAACCTGTTTAGATACGAGCCGTTCCGAGTCTAGGGAAAGCCTAGAGAACCGGTATTGTTTCCCAAAAAAGGAAATAATTCTTTTTCCAGCAAAAAGTGTTTAAAAGTTGTTTGTGAGGTATGTAGGGTCTACTTTAGGACCCGGGGAGTACGATAAACGTGTTTATTTAGGGGATTACATTGAAGGATACCCTTCAATTAAGGGTTTAGGGATTTTAGGGATTTTTTTTTATAGGGTTATTTAGGGTTTCTTAAGGGTTTTTTATCGGGGTCAAAGAGGATCAAGTCTAGCCCTTACCGCTAAGACTCCCTCAAAAAACCTAAGATTACCTAACTCTATTAAATCCCATAAAATATATATTCAATTAAAACCAAGTGTAAGATATGGGGTTCTGGGTATAACGTCTAGATAGACGATTAATACTCATTGTATGTCATCCTTAGAGCCTCGCCGAGATTTGGCGTTGACCTAAGATCTTTCTATTATACTTGTTCAACTCATCGCGGATGTTTGAACCTCTATAGATTATCCAGTTTGCACTAACATCTTTAAATTTAGTGGGATTGGATTTTAGGATAGCCTGAACTACGTTACGACCAAAGCGTTCAACTTTGTGTCTACCAGGAATATTCTTTAAAAAGAATCTCTTTTCAATATCATCATCCTCATCTTTATCTGATGGTGGATTATAATCGGCGGGAGCCTGGCTCTGAGCAGTACGACCATACAACAACTGATGTCGTTCTTCGTAACTGTGCATTCCGAGTTGTTCTTGAATGACGGGTTCAGGATAGTTGCGGTGTATGAGGAACTTAATAAAGTTCTGTCTTGCAACTTTGTGATAACTAGCATAGCCGGAGTTCCGGATTAAACGCTGGTTTTCACCATTAATCCAGTTGAAAATA